GAGACAAAGACCACCTGAGCTTTGGCTCCCAGTCATAGAGGATCCTGGGAAGAACACCCCATGTCCCCAGAAATGGGCATCCCTGTACTTGGGTGGCAGGAACAGGGGACAAAGAGACTGGAGTTCCTTTTCCGCCCCAAAAACCCCTAGGAGGGGGAGGGCCCTGGGAGGGGACATTGTCATTGAGTTGTATATGCCCCTTGCATGGGGACAAGTATAAAGTCGGGTGTGACCAATAAAGTGGTTGTTGTACCTCCAGAACTGTGTCTTGTCCAGTAACTAGGGGAAAATGGGTTTCTGTATGTCTTAAAGGGTTCCCGATCGGCTGAAGGAAGGGAACTAGCGGAGGTAACCGGTTGGGTTACCAGGTGGTCCGTTATATAACGCATATAAGAATCTATTCGTTTTCTGAGTTAACATTGCGGGATAAAACTTACCAGGAAAGGTTAAAGGATCTTAACATGTATAGCTTGGAGGAAAGACGAGACAGGGGGGATATGATAGAAACATTTAAATATATAAAGGGAATCAACACAGTAAAGGAGGAGACTATATTTAAAAGAGTAGTGCCTATCCATAAAAGTGGTGACACTACTTTGGTTTCTAACTATCGCCCAATATCATTGCTCCCTGTATTGTCAAAAATCTTAGAAAAATGTGTCCATACGCAACTTTGTGAGTACTACCAACAATTAAACTATCTGACCCCTGATCAATCGGGTTTTCGCCAGAATCACTCCACTACAACTGCCCTCCTAAAAGTTTGCAATGACATCCAAACTGGTATGGAACAAGGAGCCCTAACTGGAGCTATTTTCCTTGATTTTGCTAAGGCCTTTGACACAGTAGACCACGACATTCTACTGCACAAACTCGAAAACTCAGGTATTGGTGATCATTCTCTAAACTGGTTTCGATCGTATGTATCGGATCGCTCGCAATATGTGTCCATTTCTGACAGTGACTCCCTCCCTCTCCCGGTCACGTGTGGTGTTCCCCAGGGTTCCATTCTCGGCCCCTACTATTTACATTATTTATAAATGATCTGCCTAATGTCTGCCAATCCTCAAATGTACACATGTACGCAGATGACACGGTAATCTATGCAAGCAAATCCAATCTACCTCAACTTGAGGCTTTGCTCCAAGACCAGTTTACGGAGGTAGAAAAGTGGATCGCAAAAAACAAACTCTTCCTGAACACTGACAAAACTGTCACAATGATCTTTGGAACGGTACCTAAATTACACAAATTACACAATCCCCACCTATCCATCAAAACAAATTCAAATGGCACACTGACCACAGTCCACTCTTTCAAATACTTGGGTATGATATTAGACCCCAATCTATCTTTTAGCCTGCACATAGAAAAGCTTGTATCTAAACTTTATCCAAAATTAGGTGCCCTGTACAGAAACAAAGCCTGCCTAAGCCCTACAGTAAAGGAAAAGATTGTACAGCAAATGCTGATGCCAATCATTGATTATGGGGATGTAGTATATGCATCTGCACCGCAATCCCACATTAATAAACTCAACACATTGTATAACTCGTTCTGCAGATTTGTGCTACAATGTAATTACAGGACCCATCATTGTGACATGCTAAAGGAACTAAACTGGCTATCGTTGGAATCCAGACGCACCCTTCATCTTTCCAGCCTTGGTTTTAAGAGCTTTTCTGGGAAACTCCCACCCTACCTGAACAAAATGCTTTCCCCAGCTGTTCCCACTTTCTATAAGCTCCGATCCAGTACAAGCACTTTACTTAATCTACCTCAATACAAAAAGAAAGCGGCCCGATCCTCCTTCTCCTACAGAGCGCCGCAATTGTGGAACGACCTCCCGCACAATTTAAAATCTTCCCTAAGCCTAAAGTCTTTTAAGAGATCCCTCTCTACATACCCCAAAACAGAATGCACGTGTCATGGTTGATTATATATTTCCTGCCTGTTCTATGTTAAATTTTGTATATATTGTGTATTAATATTGTTTTTGTATTTTGTTGTACCTAATGTAACAATGCAATGATTTGTGGACCCAGGACATACTTGAAAACGAGAGAAATCTCAATGTATCTTTCCTGGTAAAATATTTTATAAATAAATAAATAATAAATAAAAGAAGAAAAACTACCACAACAAGAGGACAGTCTTAAATTAGAGGGACAAAGGTTTAAAAATAATATCAGGAAGTATTACTTTACTGAGAGGGTAGTGGATGCATGGAATAGCCTCCAGCTGAAGTGGTAGAGGTTAACACAGTAAAGGAGTTTAAGCATGCGTGGGATAGGCATAAGGCTATCCTAACTATAAGATAAGGCTAGGGACTAATGAAAGTATTTAGAAAATTGGGCAGACTAGATGGGCCGAATGGTTCTTATCTGCCGTCACATTCTATGTTTCTATGTTTCTATGTAACATGCTGTAGCAGGTGATCTTCCCCCTTCTTGGGACAAAGTTGCATGTTTAACAACAGCTGTAGTTTGAGACTAACACTCTGCTTACAGAACAACAAGTACAATTGGACACATTGGAGGACACTCAATGCTTGGACAGAGATTAGGAAATTCTCAATTTTTGGCTTCATTTCAGTGAACAGCTAGTAAAAAAAACTAATGCAGGATCAAAATTACCGTATTTATCGGCGTATAACACGCACTTTTTCTCCCTGAAAATAGGGGAGAAATTGTGGGTGCGTGTTATACGCCGGCCCTTTAAATACTGCAGCCGCCTGAGCGCTCTGTTCTCACCTTCCCTGTAGCATGGCCGAGCTGCTCTGCTGTCCGCGGTGGCCGGCCGGAGTGATAGGAAGGTGCACGCCAGTGCAAAACCTTCCGTCAGTCCCAATCGGCACAGGAAACAGAAAGAAGGGGTGAAGAGGGAGGGGGAGTGGGAAGGGGAGGGGGGGTTAAGAATAGGGGGAGTAAGAGTGGGGGGTAAGAAGAGGGGGAGGGGGAAGTAAGAAGAGGGGAGGGGGGGGAGTAAGAAAGGGGGGTGAAGAGGGGGAGGGGAGTAAGAAGGGGTAAGAGGGGAGGGGGAAGAGGGGAAAGGGGGAGTAAGAAAGGGGGGTAAGAAGGGGAAGCAAGAAGAGGGGGGAGCAAGAAAGGCAAGAGGGAGGGAAGCAAGAAGAGGGGAGGGGGAAGCAAGAAGAGGGGAGGGGGGCTAAGAAGAGAGGGAGGGGGGAGAAGAAAGGGGGGTAAGAAGAGGGGGAGGGGAAGTAAGAAGAGGGAGGGCAAGAAGAGGGAGGGGGGAAGCAAGAAGAGAGGGAGGGGGAGTAAGAAAGGGGGGGTAAGAAGAGGGAGAGGGGAGTAAGAAGGGGGAGAGGGGAAGCAAAAGAGGGGGGAGGGGGAAGTGCAAGAAGAGGGGAGGGGGAAGTAAGAAAGAGGGGAGGGGGGAGTAAGAAGGGGTAAGAAGGGGTAAGAGGGGGAGGGGGAAGTAAGAAGAGGGGGAGGGGGGAGTAAAAAGGGGGGTAAGAAGAGGGGGGGAGAGGGGGGAGTAAGAAAGGGGGGTAAGAAGTTCTTTATTTGAAATTTAAAGGACCACTCTAGGCACCCAGACCACTTCAGCTTTATGAAGTGGTCTGGGTGCCAGGTCCCTCTAGGATTAACCCTTTTTTTTATAAACATAGCAGTTTCAGAGAAACTGCTATGTTTATACTGAGGGTTAATCCAGCCTCCAGAGCCTCTAGTGGCCGTCTCATTGACAGCCGCTAGAGGCGCTTGCGTGCTTCTCACTGTGAAAATCACAGTGAGAGCACGCAAGCGTCCATAGGAAAGCATTGTAAATGCTTTCCTATGCGACCGGCTGAATGCACGTGCGCATTCAGCCGATGACGTCGCGAGCAAGGAGGAGAGGAGGCGTACAGCTCCCCGCCCGGCGCTAGAGAAAGGTAAGTGTTTAACCCCTTCCTCTCTCCAGAGCCCGGCGGGAGGGGGTCCCTGAGGGTGGGGGCACCCTCAGGGCACTATAGTGGTCCTTTAAGTTTTTTTCCCCTGAAATTTCCTTCTTAAAATGAGGTGCGTGTTATACGCCGATAAATACGGTATTTTCCCCATTGCAAACAAACTTGAAACCTAAACTAAGTGTCTATTCCAAGGTAATATTGTGTGTATTTGGCTCTAAGTAAACGCGGTTATAAACTCACTCTGTGTGCCTTACAAAACACTGAAATGCATTGTGAGAGCTAAATCAATTTCATCACTCAAACATACAAAAGCATCTTGTTTTTTTAATACATTTAGTTGAAATTTTTGATTTAAAATAATTTTCATATTGCAATTGTAAACGTTCTAATGAAAACAAAACCTGGAATTTGAGCTATAGGTCTATTTAAAACCATACTTCACCTCTTTCATATTATGTGCACAAACACGTATTATATAGAATTAGCTTATAATGCAATAAAACAAACATATACAACTGTACCCAATTGTACAGGTTTTATGGGGTTTTGGAAAGTCACAGGGTTAAATATAAGGCTTTCTCCATTTTCACTTTTTACACAATAAAATATGCCAGATTGGTTTGCTGGGCTGTGTTTCCTTTGAGATCATATTGTAGCACTGGAATAAAAATTACCCCCTTCATGGTATACCATTTGCAAAAGTAGACAACGCAGGGTATTCCAAATGGGGTATGTCCAGTCTTTTGTAAAAGCCACTTACTCACAAACCCTTGCCCAGCGTTATCATTCATATTTGTGTTCAGCGAAGTCTCCTGAGTACAACAGCACCCCCCGTGTATCTAACATGTAATTTATATCAATATCTAAATAACATTAGAATTAAAGGACATATATATATATATATATATATATATATATATATTTATTTATTTAATAAGTGGTATATTTTTTCCTTCACAAACCTTAATTCATTCCAAAATCAGACATGAATATTGTATTAAAGGGAATACATGTAATGATCAAATAATAGAGGTTGGAATCACACTAAGGGCTAACAAAAACATAGCCCACTAACCACAGAGTCCCTCATATGCAGCAAGAAATATTACCCGGCTCAGCAAGGACCTTAGCCCCAGGTGAAGGCACAATTCGAATTGCTAAAACACACGTTTCTTTTAATATCACTAAGGGCAAAAAATGTCACTGGACTATTTTGGTGATGGAGTTTGATTTATAGGAGCCGTATTTAGGTGATAGACTCCGTATGGATTCATTTGTTCATTTTTGGTCCTTACCGAGTCTGGATCTTTTGTTTAGCTTAAGGGACAGTTTTTGACGAGGTTCCTTTCCTATATAGGACATAGGTGTATAGTCTGTTAAGGGCTTTATTATTTGTGGCTTATGTCCCTCTTTTGATATTATGTATCAAGGCAGTTAGCTGCATGTGAATGACTCTTGGTTAGTGGGCTAGATTTTTCCAACCCCTTAGTGTGATTCTAACCTCTATTATTTGGTCATTATGTGTATTTCATTGAATAGAATATTCAGGTCTGATTTTGGAATGAATAAAAGGTTTAAGAAGGGTTTATGTCTTCAATTTAACATTGAAGATGGTCTGCATTTAGTTTGTCTAATTAAATTTCACCTGCTTTTTATTAGTATATTATTATTTATATAGCGCCAACAAATTCCGCAGCGCTTTACAATGGGTGGACGAACAGACATGTAGTTGTAACCAGACAAGTTGGACACACAGGAACAGAGGGGTTGAGGGCTGTAACAACAAGCCCAGTATGACTGCAAAAGGCAAATGGATTATACAGCCGTTCGGTATTTTTGTAAGCATTCACCATGCGAATGCTTACCTGCCTTAACAGGCCACCCTGACTGCTAATTATGGCCAATTTACCTCCCTGGTTGATGGGCACTTTATTCGAATCAACCGCACGAACGCTATGGGAACTGTAAGCTCAGCCACCATTTCGGGACTTACACGTGTTCACGGCCATTTTAACTCCCGAACAGCGGTGTTTGCCGATGAATGTCTGGAACTAAAATCGGACACTCAAACAGACGAACACCGCTGAGACCTCCATACGTTCGGGAAAATATCACCAAATCTACCGAACGACCGGGCGTTCGCTAGAAAGAATTAACAGCAGATGGGGATTTCAGCGAACCCAGGATGGTATACGGATGGCCGGCCGTTCGGGAGTTTTTACCCACGTTCTTAGACCGACTGCAGGGCCAGCATTCATGGAACTGTTTTCGGCTACTGTGCCCGTGCGGTCGGTCAAAACTTCTAAGTCCTATATCTCCCGAACGGCTGAACCGATTGAGCTGATTTTTTCATATGTTGGTACCTGAAATATAAGCTATCTGGGGTACAGCCAAACTTTGGGGAAAAACTGTTCTTTTTTAATTATGTTATGTAGTTATCTGAGGGGAGGGAATTTACTGAATGTATATTGTATGGATTGGTTGTACTGCTAATTATGTGGGTGTCTCCCTTGCATGGGCAGAATCCCATAAAAGCAGAGTGTGTGTCATTAAACCTCAGTTCTTCTTGACCCTTCAAAACGTAGCCTCGTCTCGTTCTTGAAAGGGGAATCTTTGCAGCTTAATCACTTAGCTCTTTTCAGAGCTGCACCTGGCTTCCACTCTTGATCCAGCAGAAGGGAATAGGCGACTCCATCACTACACAGCGACTGCCGGGAAGAAAAGGACGTCCCTAACGGCTGGTACCCTCTCTACACCAGGGTAGAAGTTACAAGGGCCCTGCTCAATGAGCTTACATGCTAGAGGGAGTGGGGTAAAGTGACGCAAAGGGTAAGGATAGTATTAGACTAGTGACAGTTGCAAGAGAGGAATCAGTCGGGAGCTATTAACAGTTTAATTGATACACTTTTATGAAGAAGTGGGTTTTTAACGATTTTTTGAAGGAGTGGAGACTGGGTGAGCATCTAACGGAGGAGGGAAGGGAGTTCCACAGGAACGGTGCAGCCCTTGAGAAGTCTTGAAGGTGAGCATCAGAGCTGGGAGTACGGACAGAAGATAGACGTAAGTCTTCAGCAGAGCGTAAGGGCCTAGACTGGACATACTTGTCTATTAGGGAGGATAGATAGGTGGGAGCAGCATTATGTAGAGATTTGAAAACAAGAACCAGAATTTTAAATTGAGCCCTATATCTTACAGGAAGCCAATGTAGGGACTGACAAAAGGGTAAGGCATGGGAGGTGCAGGCGGACAGGAAGATGAGCCTGGCTACCGCATTCATTATGGACGGTAACAGTGCAAGTTGGGAGCATGTAAGACCACTGAGAAGCGCATTACAATAGTCAAGGTGAGAAAGGACAGTGGAATGGACCGGCACCTTAGTCACATCTGGCATCAAGTAGGGACGGATGTGCGCAATGTTTTTGAGATGGAAGCGGCAGGATTTGGCAATAGACTGAACATGAGGCGTGAAGGAGAGGTCTGAGTCAAAGAGAACACCTAGGCAGCAAGCCTGCGTGGTGGAGCGGATAGTAGCACCGTTGACTTGGAGGAAGACAGACAGAAGAGTAGAAACACTTGAGGGAGGAAAAACCAGAATTTCAAGTTTGGTCAAGTTGAGTTTTAGGAAGTGGGCAGCCATCCAGTTAGAAATAGCAGAGAGGCAGTCAGAGACACTAGTCAAGAGGGACGGGGAGAGATCAGGAGAGGACAGGTAGATTTTCGTGTCATCTGCATAGAAATTATATTGGAAGCCAAAGTAGCTAATGAGTTTACCAAGGGAGGCAGTATAGATGGAGAACACTAGAGGACCAAGGACTGAACCTTGGGGGATACCAACAGAGAGGAGTTGGGGAGAAGAAGCAGAGCCAGAGAAAGAAACACTGAAAGAGAGCTGGGAAAGGTAGGAGGAGCACCAGGAGAGAGCAATATCTTGTAGACCGATATTGCGGAGGATGAGAAGAAGCTGTTAAGTATATTTGACAGTTTGTCCTGACCAGACAAGATACAGATCCTATCAGAAAACAGGGGGCTGGCTGCACTCACCTGAATATGCATAAGTAGGGTGCTGCTGGGAGCCAGTTTGTACAATAAAAACAGAAAGTCCAGTGCACTCCATTATACCCTAAACAGCAACTTCAATGCTGGAAGATTTACTTAGTTTTTGTAAAAACACCTAATCCAGGCAAAAAATAATGGGGGTTTAGTTACATTATATGATCATACATTGCATAAGCCTGCCACAACTTCAATGTACCCCATCTTTGGCATGTCCTACACTACCAGCCTAGTGTCTGCTTCATGAGCTACTTACTTGGGGGGGAAATTCAATTTAGAGCTCTCTGCAGTACAAGGCTAAATAGGGCCCTTATGCAATGCATGATCATATAATGTAACCAAACCCCCATTATTTTTTGCCTGGATTAGGTATTTTAAAAAAACAAAAAACTAACTACATTTGTCAACACTGAAGCCAAGGCCCCTTTTTTAATCATGTTTTAGATCCAGATAAAAATATCCGGACCAATATAGCACAAATGAACCTGGCCTTCATTAAAAAGGCCCTGTTCATTCTGATCTCATTTGTAATGTCTGTGTGAAAAAACCCTCCCAATCGTGGCAAACCTTGACCTTGCCAAATTCAACTTACCACTCACTCTTCTCAGCGCTTTTAACTCTTGGTTCACTTAACCATCACCAGCACTGGACCACCTCTGACCAAACTAGAATGGTGTAATACCAAACAAACATTTTCTTAACCTTACGTGATAACTGCGCGGATTTAACCACACCTATATCATTACCACCATATGAAATGTTAAAACAGCTGGAGCAGGCCAAGACCAACACTTTAATATGAGTTCCATTAACTGGTGAAATTGTAGACCACCTACACCTTTCCTATATATTGTGCCGCCATCTCGATTGAAGTCCAAATTTGATCCATAAATTCCTGCTCCTGCCCTTACCTGGCCTGCTTTACAAAAGAATGACCCATAACCCAAACATTTGTTATGGTACCTGAGGAAATAATAATAATAAC